AATTTCAAAAAATTAATGACAAAAATAAATTCAAAGTTTGCATTGTACTTCCCTTTTTTTATTATTCCTTAATCGTTTTTGTTTTTGCTTTTCATTTCTTAAAAAAGGTGTTTTATATTGAGATGTAATCAGTTAGTGACATGTTTTAGGGATTACCCAGTGGTTAATTACACAAACATGCTGGCGTTCCTGAAATTGCTAGTCTTTTTCGATATATTTTGTTTCTTGCTGTTATAACAAACGTTAAGATTTATATTACAGGTCAAAGTTTATTAAAGTGTCTGAAATTGCAAATTAAGATCAAAGACATTGCTTGATAAAATTATTTAAAACCGTCAAAAGCTCAAATCATTGTTTCGATAATGATATGAAACGTTCGTTAGGTTGAAAAAGCAAGAAAGCTATTTGTAAGAAACAATAATGTAAAAACACCGAAACTACCGGAAAGTAAACTTTATATGAAGCTGATTCACCGAAACAGCGTTATTCAAAGAACAAAATTAACTGGGACCGCGGTCGAATGATTGGCCTGGATTTAGATGTATTTATTTACCCATAACTATAAACAGTTCCGGCAATAAAGGTTTATTACATTTTACAGTCTGTACAACTGGTCAGTAATGATAAGCATTGGGTATAAGTTTTAATTTGGAAAGAACAAGTTTCAACTTCAACAATTCCTACCGCAGTCAAACAGAGAGAAAAGTCTGGGAAATGTTTCGTGATGAAGTGGATATCTCCTAAATTAAAACCGAAAAAAAAAATCAAAAATCAGCTTACTAGGAGACTTACTACTTCTTTAGTATGGCAGTAGCGGTTTTACTTGCTTGTTAATTAGGCCCATAGCGAGTGCAACTTAAGTTCATAATATATAGGCGGTGTCAGACGCGGCGCCACGTACAAATATGTCGTAGTAGTGGACAAGGAAATTAAGTAGAGAATGTGTTAACGGCTAGATCGCCTTATCTGTCGTAAAACTGACATACAGCAGCAATCTCTCTTGTATAACAAATAATATTACCTTCCTGCATTAGATTTTAAAAAGTTAACTATTCAGTTAATGCCAGTTGGGACTTCCTTTTATATTGTAAAACAAATGTTGAAAAAAAAACCTAATTTGTTTCTCGATTCTTTTTTCTGGACCACAAATCAATGTTTTACTTCTCTGTGTACAGTTAGCAGTACTGTGTAAATTCCCAAAAATTAATTAATTGTATAGAAAGTCCATCCAATTTTCAAACTAAGTCCTTATTTTAACAGGTGTATTTAATGCTCAGTAGTAAGTATTTGAAATGGTATTTAAGTATGGCGTTGTTAAAGGAGCAAGAGTTTTCTGCACCACATTAGTAAGCCTTACATAGACACACTTAGAACCTAATAATAAAGTGGAATGCAACGTTGACAGAGGCTGAAATGGACTCGTGGATCGATATGATGAGCGCCCGTCGCTGGTGTACCTTGATAGTGGGATCTGCGTTCTGTAATTAAGGACCACTCCTAAGCTTCAGTCAACGTAGACTGGTCAACCCACTGAGGGACCGAAAAGCCATAAAGAAAGCCGAATGAGGGCTTAAACCTGCTGAGCTGCTTGGTCGCATCACTGAAGAGCTGGGGAGATTTTATTAAAGGATAGCGAGCCGAGCGCTGCTGACGTAGTGTTTGTGACAGTCACACTGCAAGATTTAAGGAGGTAGTCAGCAAGTGCTGTTGAGAGGTTGTTAGGGTATTAGAAAACAGCTCTTTATCATCCCTCCCCACTCTCTCTCTCCTTTTTTTGTCACTTCCCAGTTCTGAAACTCTAACTGATGGCTTGAGTCTGTACATAGTTCGTAAACTGAGTTTCTTTCATTCTTTATGTGTGCGTGTGGACACGAAAAATGAGAATTTTAGGCAATCTTAATGTTCATATTTATTACAAATACTATCTAAAAGCAACAACAGAAATTATAACACATGCTCATTAGTATAATTTTAATTTAGCAAAAACTTAAAAGTTTAAGTTTTATATGTAAACAATTGTTGATCTTGGTATTTACATACAATTTAATGTCATTGTGCTCATTTTTACACAGTTAACTTTCCATCAGATATGTAAACCTTTATCATGGAACCAACAGATAAGTTCTATGTTACCGTTGAACAACGATTAGCTATAGACGAGACATAAGTATCACTTCACCCTTAAAAAGTTCATGTTTTTAGCAGATATGTAGAGTTCAAATAATGCTTGCTATGACCGAGTATAATATTTACTTTACTAATGTTAAAACCTATGCTAAAGTTTTGATTTAAGTTACCATTAAGAAAGCTACCTTACTAAAAGGTTAGGGTAAGACACATTTACATATAGTTAGAATGTAAGGTTAAGCTATCAGTGAAAATGCCTGTTTCAAAAGATAACGATAAGATACAGATATAGATGTATCTACATTATAAAAGTTACGGTTGCGATACCAGTAAATAAGTCTACTTGACCAAAACGTAAAGATAAGCTACTGATTAATAAAGGTATCTTAACATAAAACGAAGATACAGACCAATTAATAAACCTACAGTAAAGATAAGTTACCAGCGAGTAAAACTCCCATGTCAAAGATAAGTTAGGTGTAAGTAAATCCTTGTTACCACGAATAGTAAGTGCACCTTAATGATAGAAACATTTACATGTATGTATTACCAGTAGATAAGATATACTTATCAGTAAAAAAAACAAACAACAACTTAAAATTGTATATCTATTCTCAACTTCGGTACTTTCTTACGTTTTCCAATTAGATATCATGTATGAAGAGAACCTAACCAGTACACGAGTAATGAGTTACCTAGGGTGAAGTTTTACACATATTTATAATCAATAATTTTACAAAATATTTAATCGCCGAAAGCTTGAAGTCTGCTATGCCAGTAAATAAGATCTGCAGAAGCAGCATAGGTTTATTGTACCATTAAATTATAATTACAAAAAAAAGTCTACATTTCCGGTAGGTGAGGTTTACAGAACGTAAGATAAGGTCCACTTTGCTGTTAGGTTAAGTTTGATAGAACCAGTGTACGTAGATTATAGGTTTATATTGCTATTATAACAGGACTATATGACCAGTGGATAAGATCTGTATCGCTGGTAGTGTGTGTGTAAAGTCTATTTTACGGATAAAGTTTACAGGACCAACAGATCGTCTACATGACCAGTGGATAAGATCTATATCGCTGGTAGTGTGTGTGTAAAGTCTATTTTACGGATAAAGTTTACAGGACCAACAGATCGTCTACATGACCAGTGGATAAGATCTGTATCGCTGGTAGTGTGTGTAAGGTCTATTTTACGGATCAAGTTTACAGAAACAACAGATCGTCTACATGACCAGTGGATCAGATCTGTATCGCTGGTAGTGTGTGTAAGGTCTATTTTACGGATAAAGTTTACAGAAACAACAGATCGTCTACATGACCAGTGGATAAGAT